TCACGAAAGAGCAAGATTTGAATGTGTGTGTTTTGTCACTTGTGTTTCTATAAGTGAAATCATRAAGAAATAAAATTAAAATTATAAGAAATGCAATGCATCATAAAAAATACCAGCATTKRTTCTTACTTTATTTGTAGAGACAGTGTCTTTGAATCTCCCATTGGAACTTCACCAAAGTCAAATGGACCTTGAAGTACAAGACCTTCTTTATCTGATAGTAATTGAGTCATCCTATTTCCCATGAATTGTTGTACACTTCCTAAAGGTGGGCTAACAATGAAAAAATATATATGCTATTTACCGGCTGGGAGGTCCGTATAGGAAAACACTGCCCAAGGTCTTGACATTATGGAACGAGCGCAGCGAGGTCCGTTCATAAAAGACCAAGGGAAGTGTTTTTCTATACGGACCGACCTACAGCTGGTACATAACATTTTAATTTTTTTTATTTTTATTTATGCAACTTTGCTCGCAGCCTAGCTGCAGGATACCATCCGACCGGGCAGATCGTGAAAAACCAGATCACACACTAGCCAATCACAGCATGCGAATGACTAGGATACTGGACCGAAAAAATAATAGTTTTTACAACCGTTGTGCAAATCATGAGTTATACTTCAACAGCAAAATCAAAAATAAAGTAATAATGTAGTAGATGTGACCAAATACTGCTGTGTGATGGTGTGTGATAATCTGTATTAGTAGAGGCTGTACTACAGCAATCATCAGGAACTTCTCAGTCTGGTGATGCTGTACATGTGTAGTACAGTGAAAGTTTGATTCTACTAATATTATTCACCATCAAACCGCAGTATTTGGCCACATCTGCTGCATTATTACTTCACTAATGAGTAAGTCGTGCTGGATCTAGCATCCTCCATTTAACAGCCCAACACCATGATACTAGCCAATCTTTTCAGGCTGTTACAGTGCTGGAATTCTGGACACAACATACGCTAGATGTCATGTCAAGACAAGAATCTAAAGTATCATGCATTCCAGGAAATTCTAAAATTGTTTTACATCTGATGCTCCTACCTATTTTGACTTGTTRACAGGTTCCTCTTTGGTTCTACTAAAGTGGCCCTCCATCTACACTTCCCTCGTCCAGTTTCAATAGCTGTGACCTGGACAATGTCGCCTTGGTATGGTTGATACCCATGTGAGCACACACAAATGGTAAAATAGACCTCATCATCAATGTAACCATATCCATGGAATACRCTATTTATTGTTCCACTGAATGTTCTCTCCCTTAATGGTTTCACCCCCCGGATTTCAAAAGTTTCGTCTGTAAATCTCTCAAGGTCTACCTTGACCCAGTCGCCCTTGCAGGGGGAGAACGAGTGGTGGGGAATAACCGATGCACTAAAACTCAAGCCATCGTTTAACTCTATAATATCTCCCTTAATATTTTCTACCATTCCTATTATAGTTTCTATAGTGCCGGTTTCAGACTTGGAGTCCCATTCTTTGAAGCTACAAATGCGGATAGCTTTCCAACCACTTGTGACACTTTCGCGCRTTGCATCGAGATGTACTTCGCTCCCTAGCTCAGGACGAAAACCGCCAACGGCTACRTCAAAAGTGAAGTAAATCTCATTATTAATAACTCCTGCACCATCGTAAAGRCGTGTCACTGTGCCATAGCATGATTTTGTGAGTCTACTGTCCTCGTTTTGAGCAGGACAAGTTTGTAAAGTTTCCTTCGTTCCTGAGTGTTCTTGCTCCAAGCTTTCAGCGCAAGGCCTCTCATTTGAAATTCTTGAAGGTTCTGCATTTTCTTCTRAACCGAATACATATTCTGTTATTTTAGAAAACAGRCTATACATCGTGAAAGCGCKTCATATTCGCACAASTTTATAGAAAGCAAAACCGCCGCSAGGAGAGCGCCATCTTTAAAACAGGAACCCCACAAAACAATACTTGGTTTTCCTGTGGTAGACYCGGGGGAGTCTGGGTAGAAAAATACAAAATGGCGGATGTTTTATCGTGTTTTTGGACAAAATGAACAACAAAATTGCTTGTATTCTGTTCTGCGAATTTCATCCGATTGCTGGTCCAAAGATTGCCTATCAAGTAAGCTATTGCTTTATGCATTCAAAGTCGATTAAGCTTTTTCCWTTGATTGATTACAAACTCTCTTTCYTGWTCAACTCTGCWAGTCGCCTGAGAACTTCATCTCCAAAGAGAAATTCGATTGTGTGGCAGTTTATATTATTCCAAAGCCAGAACTGCAACGGAAATTGATAACAGTGTAAGTGCAGACTTTTTYCAGATAGCTTCTMCAAAGATCGTTTGCATGTTTGTTTTTGAATTTGCTATATTTTTCATTTGATCATTCGATCATTGACTCTCGTCACTYTCTCACTGTATAAATGTACATCCACGTACTTTTATCCATCTCTCAATTCATTTCTCAATAAATTCCTTGCTTTTTATTTATTCATTTACTAGTAGTAGTAGGCATCCGTCAGTCATGAATGACTTTGGCTGTACACTAGAAACATTGTTTTAAAAACAGTGTTTTATTCATTTGCTAATCCTTCTATTTTGCCTGCATAGCCAGGCGTTCCCAGCTGCTACGAGGGAGTTTGGGCCGAGAAATCATTAGATGTGTGTTTATCCTTCCATTTGTTCATTCTTCCATTCGTCCATTTACTCTTTTAATTATGTGTCTATYATAAATTCTCCCTTCATTCATTTATTCATTGATCCACCCTTTCCCTTTTCCATCCATTCATTTTTTGATTCTCCCATCCAGTCATTCATGCATTTTATTCTATTTCCCTTTAATAGCAATAATAATTACATTTGTAATTATGATTAAACTGATAAAACTCAAAGCAGATTTTTTTCATTTTTCCCCCCAGAAATGCTTTGGATTACACATTTGTTGGCTGTCCAATCAGCATTGAGAATGCAAAATACTCCAGAAATGCATTACTGTTCAATGTTTGCTTTGTCTTCAGTGGCAAGTCRGATACAATGTGTTATGAAGGAGTTGTGAGGAAACTTGCTAGTTATCTTACTACACTTGAGGTAAAAAAAGCCACAAACCAAAGTCTCCATCACATGTGACATTGTTTCTAAGGACCATAGTCACCTGTCACTCAATACATGCATTCAAAAAAACAACAGTTAACTGCACAAAAAGGGGACAAATTTGTGTGCAGTGAATTTTTTTTTATTTTTGGACTTTAACTCTGCTGTGTATAAAGCAATTATAACCCAGGTTGTCAGAGAATCTTGTTAAGATCTTGCAATATCCTGTAAGATCTTGTTTAAGCCTTGGCAAGGTAGCCTCCTTCGCATCCGTTTTCGTGTCAGGCTTCCTGTCCCTCCCCTCACGAAAACAGATGCAAAGGAGACTATTGGCAGGGAGAATTCTTGTTAAGAACTGTGTAAGATCATGGCATGAACTAGGCAAGATCTTTGTAAGATTTTGCTCAGATTTTGCATTTATAATTTTGCCAAATTCTTACCACGATCACACAAGACCTTACCAAGTTCTTGCATAAAAGAATATTATGTGAATTTGTTCAGCTTGAAAGTGGATTCTTATCAAAAGAAGAAACAAAAGAGACATTGCCTGAAATACTAGAGAAAATCAGAACTGGACTGAATGGAGCAGGAAGATGTACTATTCCCATTGGTAYGGCATTTGACTTTACTTACATTTTCTTTTATTCTCAATTGTGAGTGGGTTGGTGAGTGAGATGTTTTTATTGTCATTTGTTATTGTTATTAATATTTTTCTTTAACTGAGACTTACATGTAATTTGTGGTTAATTACTAGATGAGGCCAACACTATTCATTTAAAACCTGATTTACCAGTTAAAGAGCCTGTTTCAGTAGAGGACCATCAAGTGCCTATCTTCATATGGGACATTAAAGCTTGGTCTATTAGAGAATGGGACATCACAACCCAACAAGTATGATTTATGATAGAAACAACGTATTTAATTCAGTGGGGTCCATCAAAAGCTAAAAAAGTCACCCRTGGTAGTGTGTGGAGAGATTTCTTTAAAATTTAGCAATTAAGAGAACACATTTTAAAATTAAGATCAATAGTATGGACAAGAAAGCAAAACCCACTAAAGGCATATAATAGGCATGGTAGCAGCATACTGTCCATCAATGTACTAGAGCCTTTTTGGAAAACAAGTAGAAAGAGGGAGGATTTATCTAGCTGCCCATGAGGAACTTCAAATAGTCTCCTTCACGGTTACCTGCGCCATCTTGAAAGGTAGCCGTGGCTTGTCATCGAAGYGAGACAACCGTTGAGCGTGCAATGATAGAAACCTTCTTTCACACCTATAGACAATTATTCACAGGTATCTATCATTGCWCGCTCAACKKTYGTCTCGCTTCGGTGCAAAGGCACGGCTACCTTTCAATATGGCGCAGGTATCCGTGAAGGAGACTATTGTAGGTGAATAGTGTTGTTTTTGTTTCAGATAATTCCATACATTGATGGCTACAATCATGTTTTACGTATTGCTTATGAGGCAGACATTGACCCAAGTCTTGTTAGAAAGTGTGTACAGAGTCTGGTGTAAGTTACCTCTTGAAAACAAAAGAGAAATCACAAATTCTTCATTTATGTAATATATAATTTGTTTTAATATTTCTTTAGATACTTTAATGTGGTCAAGCTTATTCCCATCTTCCAGGTAAACTTGTTAGGACAATCATAATTTTCGTCTATAAAGGTGTTATTGAAATCCCATTCCCTCCMTTCCTGGGGCAATTTTTAGTTTATGTGTCTGCCTTTTGCTTAGAACAGAGCAGATTTGTATTTGTAGTACCTTATTCTGTTCAGTGAATTGAGCAAAATATATCAAAGCTGTACTACTGCAAACATTCACATGGATCACATCTTTTAACCTACACCAAATTGAAAAGAAAAAGACATTCTTGGAATAATCAAAATTTGAATTATTTTCCATTAACATTTCTTGTAGATGAGGGCATGATTAACCSAATACAAGCGGTAACTAAAACTGTTGTTATTTGAGTATTTTGTTTTTGTTTTGCAGTATTCTAATGTCTATATACCAACACCAGAAATGAACCGTCTCCTCACTGACAGAAAATTACAGGATGAATGTATTCAGTATTCTCCTAAAAAAGGTTTGTCAAATTATACAAAATTAGCATTGTAGCTTAATATATATCGAAAGTACTTTTTAAGGAGTTCAAGAAACTCTTCATGCAAGGAAGGGTACTTCATGTTCCTACTTTGGAGGTYAAGRGGAAAGAGATCATATAATTTTTTGATTGTTTCAATATTAGGAGCTGTTTTACCTACATTTTATGACATTTTCAAGATGTATTGCTGTCTAAGCCCTGGACTGACAGTGAGGGACCTCTGTACTCGCTTCAATCCAAGCTCACTTCGTATAGATGAGAGGTAAGTGATTATTTTGAGTTTTAGGTTTATTATCAATCATTGTTTTATAGTAATTATGGTTATTTTATTATTATTTTTTAATTCGATATTTATTACAGCCTTTTTCAAAAATTATGAGAATTGTCTAAATATCTAAATATCATAATATCCATATCCATATATTGTCCGAAACACGCGGGTTTGCTAGAATAATTCATTGTTGACATCGAGAAAATATTCAGAACTACGGATAAGTCCATTGCCAAAAAAAACTAAACAACAAAGACAAGGGACTAAGGGCATCGCGCGGGATCATGCACTTGATATTATGATATTTAGATATTTCAACAATTCTCATAATTTTTGCAAAAGGCTGTAAACACACCTTAAATGTAATATCACTGTTACAGTTTAATKGGTTTTATGCTTTGTCCAAAACTTGAAAGAGTTACACAGTAAGTTAGTCAACTATCGACCAACATCTAATTTTTTCCAAGTGTCCAAGCGTGAATTACACTTAGCATTAACTCTGTGAACACCAAGGATATCCAAAACAATCTTCAATGCAGGATGCTCTGAGGCACTGAGCCATGTGGTATAGTCCCAGAGAACATATACGAGCATGCGTAATAGGTCGTACTTTGTCGCAATTTGAATGATTGATCACCGGGTCTGCTACGTTATAGAGTGAACTGTGGAAGACATTCTTAATTTGATGTCAATATTTATCTCCAGAAGAAAATAATCTTTTTCATTGCTTTCCTAAARTCGCGCATTCTTGCGCCATAAATCCACGGATTCACAGTACTGTTCGCCAGCGCAAAAAACAATCCCCAAAACCAAGCTTTCATTATCCTTGTCTGGACACAACGATTCCCCATAACCTGAACAATCGATATTACCACAGATGGACACCAAAACAAAAGCACATTGCCTATTACTATAGCAACCGTCTTTGCTCCCTTGTGCTGCTTAGCAACACTTATGGCTCTCTGTGCATTGATACTTTGCGCGGCGATTTTTCTCTTTTGTTCTCGTGCGACTTGGAATACCCGGATGTAGCAGTAGGCGATGACTAAGAAGGGTATTCCTATTGAAATCATGCACGTAAGGAGCCAAAACTTGGGCAGTTTGTAGATATCTGTGGTGACGAAGCGAATGAAGGGATAGCTGATTGATATAGTCCATATACACACCGTTGATATGATGCAAACACGATTGGTCATTAGCCATTGGTAGCGAAGTGTTGCGGTGATTGCGAAGTATCTGATATAAATTAAACGATATTTAGTAAAAACATTTTAATATATATATCCGTCACTCAGTTACCTGCGGCAACGTCATTGCTGTGCAAATTAGAAAGCGATGGTTAACGTTGTACAAAAAGCCAAGAAATGCGAGATTCGTTGTTTCTCTTTTTTTACCAGTTGCTTTTTGTTGTTGAGAAGTTTGTTATCAAAATGCCTGCCATATTTGGTCAAAGACCAATCAACAAGGTGGGAAACCGAAAAGAGAGTTGAAGGCAAATATGTGTTCTTTTATTCCGATAGCACGTCTGAAGTAAACMCCTCAAAATTGTAACCAAACAACGAGATAAATTTGGTAAAGGTTTTCCTTTACAATAGCGTTAGGTTCCGTCTAGGAAATCAGTCCGGCGTCTATAGAATTAACCTGTAAAATTATTGAATATATTCCAACCATTGTGTGTGAAAAGCTGAGAAAATACAATTTTGAAAATGCATCTTAAGAAATAACTTGAAAATAGCCGCCTCTTAGTTTTCTTTAGTTATTTTAATAAAACACGACGTTTTCAATTATATAGCATTGAACAGCTGTGTCACTTTAATATTAGCTGGCGTTATTACAAGACCATTGCGGGTGGTGAAAATAGACGAGATATTCAGGGTTTTTTTACTCATCATAAACGTTTCGAGGCAGTTCTTGTCAATCTCTAAGTGGCTCTTTAACGAACGTCAAGTCCTATATCCTTTATAATATCTTAGAGTTTGTCCACCCATTTGCAAAATGAAAATAAAATAACTGAATTAAAAAAATCTACTATTTTTCGTAGGAAAATTCTGCCAATTTTCTTTAATTTTTTTTCTGTGTGGCGCAACTGTTATTTGAACACTTTTGGTGATACAGTAGCTCGAGGGCACAAGTTAATTCGATCAATAAAAACCCTGTTTTCCAAATCTATCAGCTTTGAGACTCTTAGCATTGTTAGTTAGGTATGTTTCACAGAAACTTCCTTACAAGTGTCAAACCCCGCGTTGTCAGAATTTAGCTCTTCTTGAGTAATAAAAAACTAATAACAAAATGCTTGAAAAATTAAAAGAACATGTATCTCTCCCCGCAAGCTCTTTCAGGTCATTTTCCGGAAGGAGAGCTTCCGTAATGTCCGTTTASTGAGAACGTTCAAGTCTGAACAGAAAGCTAAGCGTTCAATTGATCTTAATCGATTAATTATACTTAATAACAGAAGGAGCAGTACACCTAACGTTCCTTGTAGATAGTTACAGTAAAGGTTTTACTGTGTAAAAACATTTTTAAAACGAAGAAAAGTTTGTTTAATCTACTAACCTGTCAAGGGCTATAGCACAAAGTCCAAAACTAGTTGCAGTAAAAGTCTGTAACATCATAATGTCCGCGGCCTTTGCAAACGGATTCTCGCTAAACCAGTAGTTTTTGTAACACCTTACAGCTAACATGGGATGAACCAGTAAGCCAGTCACAAAGTCAGCTAATGCTACTGAAGCCAGGAAGTAGTTTGATACATTTTGTAAGGATGGTGTGTTGTAAATAGCCAGTAAAACAACTAAGTTACCAGTTGATGCTAGTAGTCCAAATAMAACGTTTAAAATCGTGAGAAGAATGGATATATGTGGCTTTAGGTCGCCGTAACAATCGGGATCAACAAGTGAGAGATAGTTCTGAGAATTGTTAGACATCGAGCAGAGACTTGTAGCCACTCAATAAGCAGGACAGTTAYACGAGTGTTGAATCAAGATTGTCGTTCTGTAAATATGTACAATAGTGGAAACATAGAATTAAAAAAGAACGCCATTAACCAGGTGAAGGTCTTCGCCGAGAACTAAGAAAAAAAACAAAATTCATAGGGATTAGAATTATAACAAACCTGCCGTGCAAAAAAACCTTTTAAACGGAAACACTGGAGATAATTTTCCTGAGACAAGAAAATCTCACGGGTCAGTCGATWAACTCTCTCTAAAACTTGATAAAAAAAATCAAAACTACAACGACAAGCCACTTTTAGAAAGCCTTCTAAGTTATTAACTTGTACTGACAGTTTCACTCTCCTGAGGCATTGGAAAAACACTAATTTAGCGGCGTTTAACACATATATGACCACCTGCTTGCCACCATTTAAAAAACCTTATATTTTTTTATTGTTTTTACAAACTGTCAAAAACTACCAATATTTGCATTTATGTTTTTTTTTCTTCTTCTTCTACTTTCATCTGTCACCATATTGTTAACGAGTTCAATAACATTAATTTCAAAAGATGTTCAACTTTTTTAATAACCAGCATAGAACAATAAAWATAATTATAAGRACTTCCGCGTACCAAGTAAAAAGGTAGACTACGCTAGCATGTAAATAATAACAGAGTCTAGGAAATGTCAGGGTCTGAATGGGGTTAACCGACTAGCGACAAATGGACAAAATAACAACTGACTAGCGACAAATTTGAACAAAATTTACTGACTACCGACAAGAACATATTTACTGACTGGCGACATTTTCCAATATCCAAAGATGTTAGCTCCGTGAATACAAGCTTTTTTTTATTTTTCAAGCAACTACATTCAAAATTTTCCGCGGAAAAAATAAATTTTGCTTCGGATTGGCTTCTTGAAGTTGTGATGAGCCACTCTAAAACTTTGAGGGACATCCAATTGACCAATCAAGACTCAAGGATTCAATCGTTGGCATTTTAGAAAGAATTCTGTTGGTATAAAGCACCGTTTTAGAGATGCATTTACACTTAATGTTTATCAACTTTTTTTAAATAACCGACTACCGACAAATGCCTAGAATTTTAACTGACTAGCGACAAATGCTAGGGACATTAAGACCCTGCAATGTTCATGTGACGCCATATTGTGCACTAAAGCATGATGGGAGTTGTGGTTTATTTACTTTGTAGAAACGGCAAAATTATTTCTATTTTTGTAGAGATACAGCAAAGCGGCTGAGGAGGACTGTTTTAGCGGACATGCAAAAGTGCGAAAATTCCCATCATACTTTGCTGCACAAAATGGCGTCGCTAGTCATTGCCTGTTTTTTTTTTTTTACATCTTTATTTCAAGTAATAAATTTCAAAATTATATTTATTTACAACAAATTACAATATTACAAAAAGATTACAAACACTTAACAAATTACTACAGTACTTAAGACATGAAAAAAAGGGGGAAAAAAGCAATCTGTGATATATATGTAGTAAGCATTTGTTTACATCATTGTGAAAGAACATCTACAGAGATTTTACTGAATTATAAAAATAAATTTCCATACTATCGAAATGTAATTTYCATCACAGTTAGAAGAGTCCTCCTCTGCTAACTATGTTTCCATTTCCATTATGATTTTTGAAGGATTTTATGATTTGTATGAATATTGATATCGAGAGATATAGAAAAAATATGAAAATAAAGTTATGATTGTTGAAAACTGAACAAATGCCCGGCTCGTGAAAACAATAAATTTGTTGTTGCTTTTAAGCCACTCAATTGATGTTTTGCGTATCGAATAGAAAGGCGAGAAAGTTACTACGGGTATTTAGGAGGAGGCGACGGGTTCCTGGGAGAAATATATCTGCTCTTATGTCCAAGCCAGATGTAAGTCATAACTGGTTGCCAGCGAGAAATTCAGGAAAGAAGAACTCTCCAGGCAAGGAATACTTTCTAAGAATTTTTACCAGGAAAATAAAAATTTCCGAACTAAAAAAAAATTTAGGCCGTTTTTGACCTTAAAACGTTATATAAGCCTTTTTGACCTTAAAAAACGTTTACCAGGATCAAAATTATTTTAAATTTATTTTAAATTTGCTTGTGAGATTGTCAACAATGTAGCTCAAAATCCTTCTCCGGACCAGAAAACTAAGAAATTCGTACAGGAACAGTTATTTATAAGAACAAACCCGACCATCCTGTGTATTCTACGTTAATGGATAATATTGTATTTGCCGAAAACATGGACAAACCAAACAAACTATAATGGACGAAACCCATTTAATTTAAGACAGTATTGATTGCCGCTTTTGAAGGGTGAATATTGATTGCAGTCAATAAAATACCGCTCTCTTTCGGTAGTGTCTCCTCCAACAGCTTCCTGAAACTGCTATGTAATATGTGAACTAACATGAGAAATATGACCMTACGAGACCAAATTACAATATTTTTTTCACTTACTATATTGAATATGCTTACTGTAGAGTCACATGTTTAAACTGTCTGATAACTAAATTAATTATCTTTCGATATAAATTTGTAAATTCAGTTTTCATTTATCCTCAAAAACTCAATAATAAAATCATCGAAAACTTTAATTTACCTTGCTTGTATGCTTAGTAGACACAGTAAAACTGAACAATCAAATTAGAATTATTCGCAAAATTATTTTTACTTTGCCTCAAATCTTACCTGATTCCAGTCGATTTTGTCGTTGTTGTTTTGCTTACTGTGMGATTCAAATATATTTTTGACTTTAAAAGTATCTGCCAGTTGAAAATGCTCATGAAATATAAAATACAAACAAGATGATAGACGATGCASYTTATGGTCGCTGTGTTCCTATAGAAATACCGGGTGTCGGACTAATGCAATCCCATCCTTATTGGTTTGTTTAAGACTCTGTAATCATTGTCCTATTTATACAGCTTTGACACCTGATAAAACATGTAATTGTATGACACTGAAATACCCCGCAACGTCTTAATAACTGTGTTCAGTATAAATTACTCGCAATGGCTCGGAATATTTCACTCAAGAACTCCGTCAGTGTCAAGACTGGCCATATGGTCCCGAGTGATCTTGTGTGAAGATGTGTCCTTAATTTTTTTTCTCTCCTTCCTTCCTTCCTTCCTTCCTTTCCGTGTTTACTTCATATATTCAGTTCCGGTTGCTTTCTCTTCCATCCTGCCATCCTTCAATCCTGTTTTTTCTTTTCAATTTCTTTCCTTCTCTTCTGCCTTTTTATCCTTCGTATCTTTCTTCTTTTTCTCTCCTGTTTTCATTCCTCCCCTAATTCCTTTCCCTCTTTTCAGTTTTCTACCATTTTTACCTTCTCACTTGTATTCTTCTTTTCGTTATTATTATCTTTTGTACATTTTATTATATCTTTCACACTTTTCTTTATTATTTCTTTATTTTAGTTTTTCGTTATTACTTTATACTAATGTCTTCGATTCAGTTTCAACTCATTCTTTCAGCTTTTCTTTTGACGTCTTTTTCATTTTTGTTAGTGAAGTGTTTACATATTTCTAATTCGAAAACAACAACGACAAAAGCAAAGAGATGAAGTTGCTATAATTAATTAAAAAACAACAACAACACTAAAACAACAACATTAAACGTCTTTTTCATTTTTGTTASTGAAGTGTTTACATATAGAACGTTCTAATTCGAAAACAACAACAACAAAAACAAAGAGATGAAGTTGCTATAATTAATTAAATCGTTTCATTTTCAATGAATTTTAGCAGTTCAGTCTGTGTGATTTTATCTTGTAAATAACTTCTTTACTCATCGGGGCCGGGTTGTTCAAAGCCCGATTAGCGTTAATCCAGGGTTAACTCCATAGGTTTTCTAAGAGTTAACCCAGGATTAGCGCTAATCTGGCTTAAAACTGACTCTACAATACTGACACGCCGATGTTTCATCTTGCAAAAATCTCAAAATATAGATTAATTTAAGATGCTATGTTAAAACATAGTACTACCTATGGTTAAGAATATACAGAAACAGACAAGAAATGTTTCTACAATGAAACGATCTTTTTTTTTTTTTGCAAAAAAAGTAGTAGAATTTAATTAGGTTACTCGGGCTAAACTTCACTACTTCACACTACACTCATACTTTGCAACTAAATTGCATTTTTATATTGAGAACTATATAAAAACGCCTCAATAATGCATTGAATATTGCCTTAAACTTTAGCCTAATGTACTTTTCTAACACTAGAAAACAATTGGACACTTACCCGTCAGAGTAATCGAGCGACTGTTAATGATATTATCCCGTTGAAAAGTCTTCTCTTTAATTGTCAAAAGTTTTATCCGTTTTATCTCGCTGTTTTACTCGAGCGACTGTTAAAAATTGAATTTTGATATTATACCGTTGAAAAGTCTTCTCTTTAATTGTCAAGAGTTTTATCCGTGTGTCGTTTTGTTGTCGTAAGAGTCGCTTTAATTAAACTGTTTTCTCACCGTCAAAAGGGTAACTTGATTGTAATCCGAATTGAACGCCTTCGACACTTAATTTTTGACATAGTATACAGAACGAAAGCTTACAAATGACTTACAATACCAATCAAGAGATTAGACCGCACATAGTTTTACGACTTTTTTATGAATCTCTATCGTTATCAGGCATGTGTTGTCTGGGCCGCTATCGAAACGTCTTGAACTCTGCGCGGGTTTGTTTGATCCTGACAAATTTTGTACAGACTTTATAAAATTTTGAAAAAAGAGCCGCTCTTTAAATAAAGAAAATAATACGAAAAGGAGAAAATTATTCACTTTTTTAGAAGTTACAATTGTAAGTAAACATAGCCTCATCCGGAAATTACAGTAACATAACTTGCTTTTTTACTCAAATTCAGTACTTACTTGTAATTAATATTTGTACAATGGTGACATTTATTTACACAGAGAAAAAGGAATTGAATTATGTTATTTTAAATCAGGATACTTTGTATATTTGCGTACACTTTTGAATTTGCTGTTGAATAATTCGTATAATTTAGCACTCAAGTCAGTGTATCGAGGAAGTTATTATCCATGTCATTGTTTTCATATTTTAATTCAGAATATTATGTTAATCCATCAATAATTCTATTTATTTATTTATTTTCAAGCATGATGGGAAGCTAATGACGTCATGCGATGTTCAGCAAGATGCACCATGTGATTGAAGAAAGCACACAAGCCATGTTTTTTGTGCATTTGGGCTGTTTTGCGAAAAATAAGATTTTTTATTTTTCAGGCTGGTCTTTTTCAGCCATTTTATATTTAAAGCTTTTTGAAAACATTCTTGACAAGGGAAAGCATTAATTTTGCAAAGAAACTTGCTTCTCCGTCGTTTTAACAATTAGACCTCGAGGTCGAGTGGACTACGAGCTAATAGCCCACGAGGTCTATCACTCATACTGTGCTGTGATTGGCTACTTTTGTAATGGTCTAATTTGTGATAGACCACTCGCGGGAAAATCAAAATAAATTAATCATAAATTAATCGTATGAGGAAGTGGCTGATCCCATTAAAGAGTGCTCAATACACATAAAGTGTAGAGCTAGTTATATATATGATATCAAAGAGGCAAGATTTTGCTGTGACTGATAAACATGAGTGCGTAGCACGAAACTCGGAGTTACAGCAAAATGTTGCCTCTTTGATATCATATATATAAATCATAAACTATAAATTATTTTAAGGATATTTCAATTTGTTTTCTTTTTTTAAAGAGTTTTTTTATTATCACAATATACACTTTTACATACATATACGAACATGTACACAACGGATTACAAATACAATAGACCAAGAAAAAAATTATTTACAGATTTTTGGAGGGCACACTTGTTTTCATTATTTGACCGATGAGTATGTTTATACTAATACAAGATATCAGCCATCTTGTTATGTTAACCAGTACCATAATGCACTTCGTCAAAACTAAAATAACGTTTTTGATAGGAGGGACCAGTATTTGTTTCCATGGTCCAAGCTTTATGTAATATTATTGTTATKATTCTTTTTTCAAGGCGACTTATC